CTGGATGTGGGGCTTGAACTCACGAATTGTGAGATCATGACCTGAGGGTCGGGGGGTGGAGCCAGCGCGGGGGAGGTGTCTGGGGGCGCAGGTGAGGGTCGGGGGGTGGAGCCAGCGCGGGGGGGGTGTCTGGGGGCGCAGGTGAGGGTCGGGGGGTGGAGCCAGCGCGGGGGGGGTGTCTGGGGGCGCAGGTGAGGGTCGGAGGGCGGACGGAGAGGGGGGGTGTCTGGGGGCGCAGGTGAGGGTCGGAGGGCGGAGCCAGCGCCGGGAGGGGGGGTGTCTGGGGGCGCAGGTGAGGGTCGGAGGGCGGAGCCAGCGCCGGGCGCCGGGCGGGGGGCCGCGGCCGGAGGGAGGAGGCGGCGGGCGGCGGGCGCCATGCGGGTGCGCCTGGGCGCGCTGGCGGGCGCGGCGGCGCTGACCGGGGCGCTCAGCTTCGCGCTCCTGGCGGCCGCCGTGGGCACGGACTTCTGGTACATCATCGACACCGAGCGGCTGGAGCGCGGCGGCCCGGGCGTGCGGGGCCGGGCGGGGGCCGCCAACCGCAGCCAGCCCGAACGCGTGAGCTCGCACTCCGGCCTCTGGCGCACCTGCCGGGGTGAGGGGAGCGCGCGGCCCTGCGCGGGGACCTGTTGCCGGGCTCGCAGCCCCCCCCCCCCCCCGGCACGCACAGCGCGGGGCCCGGGCCCGGGGGGCAGGGGGCTGCAGGGCGGGGCTGGTTCCGGCTCCGCACGACCCTCCCCGGGCGGCAGCTGGGGTGGGCGCGGGGGTGCGGCCGCCGGCTGGGGTCCCAGCTCCAGGCCCGCACCTGCTCATTCCTCTGCCCCGTCTAGTCCAGAGCCCGTGTGTGCCGCTGATAAACCCTTTCTGGCAGGAAAACGTGACCCTCAGCGACTCAAGCCGACAACTTCTCAGTGAGTCCGGGGAGAGGGGGTTGGGGGGTCGGGGGAGCATCCCGGGTGTGGACACCGGCTTTGGAGCCCTCCTCCAAAGAGCGGGGCCAGGGCACTGCGGAGGGGGCGCCCGGGTCCGGAGAAGGGCGTGCGGTTAGGGGCAGGGGCGGGGCCTCTCTGGCTCCGCAGGTGACATGCTGTGTGGTCTAGGATTCTTTCGACAAATGTTGATCCCAGGCTTTCTATGTGCCAGGCGTCACGCTGACGATTAAGACCCAGGCCATGCCCGCCAGCAGTCACATTTCAGGGTGACAAGCAGTGGCGACGGGGGGGAGGGGGGGTGTTGGAAGATACCTTAACCAGCTTGGGGAGCCGAATGCTGAAAAGACAGATCTGAGCCCATAGACCCCAAGGCACATCAGGTGTCAGCCTCATCTGTTTCCTCAGTGTGAACAAGCACTTCACAGTAGCATAAATATTTGTGCAATGATTCAAGAAAGGCAACCTGGAGGTAGACAGCAGCCCCCACCCCCTTCAGGGTAATGAAGGTAATAGTTCAGTTCGTTCAATGAGGCTCACGGTGGACCAGACGTGGAGCTAAGTGCTTTGCATCTATGCTTTTATGTAATGCGCACTACTACGCGATGGAGTTATATCTTCATTTTTCCAGGGAAGAAACTGAGGCTCAGAGAGGTACCGTAGAAAGAATCTGGTGAAGAAATGAAGGCTGAGCTCCACAGACCTTGAGAAATGTGGGTAGTTTGGGGTAGGCTTGGGGATGAAGGTCAAGTCGCTAGCATGGCTGCCCGGTGCCTCTCCAATTCCCTTCTCCTCCTTGCTCTTTCTTCTGTGGCTACAGCGTGGTAAATTCCCTCCTGCCACTGGGACTTTGCACATAACGTTTCCTCTGCCTGAAGTCTCCCTGCTCCGGTGCTGACAGCTTGACTTGCAGCTTCTACTCCTAGAGCAGGTTTTGGGACTTTTTTTTGAGTTAAAGTCTGACTCCCTCGTTAGACCATGAGGGCAGGGACCATGTCTTTCTTGCCATGGCCCAATATTTAGCCCAGAACCTGGCATAGAGCAGGGTCAAAGCCAAGATTTGCTGAGCAGGTATGAGAATGAGTGCAAATTGTAGTATGTTACACATGGAACATAAATTAATGAATAAGTGAGGGAAACAGAGCCTTTCTTTCAAGTCCGGTGGAGCACTGGGAAAGGGTTAATGATTGTCTTTGGATGATGTGTTCTCATTGTTTCAAGAATAATCAAGAGTTCCCGGCCTTGAAGACGGGGAGATGGGTGTCAAATGCCAGCCCAGAATGCTACCAGGATGCTCTGTGCTCCTGGGACAGGTGTCCTAACCTCTCTGAGCCTCAGTTTCCACATCTATCAAACAGACGTCAGAACCGCAAGGGGGTGTGGTCAGAATTCCATAAACAAGCTGGCTGAAAAAGTTGGCCTTACCTGGGGCCTCACACGGTGCCTGGTTGTTGTGAGATCTCTGTGATGTACGGAAGTGCTGGTCACATAGTAGGTGCTCAGTAAGCACTAGTCTTCACTATTCCCTCCAGACTCTCTTAGATGCGGTTCCATCTGTGGAGTACTGACCCTTTGCCGGGCTGGGTGCTGGTGTTTAGCCTGCCTGTCACATCTCTGGGCAAACTGGCCCGCTAACTATAGTCGGCATCCGGTCAGCTTCTTTGTGAAACGGAGTAACACCAACAGCCCTGTGTGCTCCTGCATTTTGAGACACAGGCACAGCTCACATCCAGAGTCTGTTCATCTGTTCACTCTCAGACCCAGGTCTAAGCCCCAGCTTCACGGCCACGTAGGTGGGCAGCCTTTATGGTTAGGATGGCATGGGGGGGTGCATTTGAAGAGTCTCGGGGTGCCTGTGCTCCGTAAGTCTGCCTTGAGTAAGAGCTGCTGTTACACCGTGATCTCACCCAGGAAAGAGTGCAGGGTGCGCTTTCAGACCACGTGCTCACTGCACACCATCGCCAGGCACAGCCTTTCTCAGACTCCCTTTATCCCCAGAAAGATTTTTGAATCTCTGCCAAGCTCTTTGGTTATGGGAAGATGTTCCTTTCCTTCGAGGGCCTGCCGCTGAGGTCATAGAGGAGAGAGGACACTTGTCAAAGCAGCCATGTTCTCCGAGTCAGCCTCCTGGACGAATCTCCGTGGCAGCGTCTGGGGAAGGACTCCTGAGTTTTTTCCTGCAAGAAAACCCAAGCAGGCCGACCACTCCAGCGCCCGGGGGAAGCCCACCTTGCTCGATGTTTCGTCTTCCAGATCAGCTCCTGGGATGACATGGGTTTGGCTGCTTGGCTGGGAACTGGAGTTATTTTTGGTGGTGGCAGTAGTGGCGGGGGCAGTCAAGAAATTGCGTACCGTGTCGAAAAACAGAGCCCCGATCTAGCTGCCTCGGCCCGGAGTCTTTTGGTGAAATGTCAGTCACCTGTGGAACCGAAAAGTTCAAGGGTGCTGGGATCCAGAGAGCTCAACTCCGTGTCTTTCTTCTCCTCTGTTTTCTCTTTGTGTCTTCTGTTGGGCTCCTGACTTCAGTAAGTCCCCTCCCGCGTCAGCAACCATGGCGGAAGGAGCCTCTCTGCTTCCCAAATGTCTGCAAAAACTTCCAAAGAGGCTTCTCATTGGGCCAGATTGGATCACAAGCCCAGGCCTAGCCAATCATCGTGGCCAAGGGGACGGGATGCGCTGAGTGGCCGGGCGGAGCCGTGCCGCTGGGAGCTTGGGGGATGAGGAGGGTCAGTCCCATCACCGAAGAGGGCCCCCGTCTTACCAGCTGTGTGCCTTCTGGCAGGTCCCCCGGGGCCATGAATGGGCTGCTCTCAGGTGGAAGGAAATCACAGAAGCAAAGCAGCATAAATGACACCACGCATAGTAGGAGCTCAAGTAATGTCTCCTCCCCGTGCTCTAAGTCACACTGCCTCCCTGAGCCGCAGGCTTCTCATCTGTAAAATGGAGCTAATCACTTGCGACTTGTGTATTTACTTCGTCCATATGTATTTCCCTCCTCCTTGCACTGGGCTAGATGCTGGGGCTAGAGCGTGACGACACAGGTGTGTCTCACACACAGCTTAGGGTCTTGCGCAGGAGGCAGATAATAAACACACGGACCAAGGAATAAATAAACGTAAGCTAGTTTCAAACAGTAGTAGGTGAAACCGAGGGAATGAAACAGGGTCACCTTTCAGTGGAGTGAAGGACTGTGAGAGGAACAGCCAATCTTTATGGAACAGTCACTGCGTGCCGGACGCTGTGCAGAGTGCTTTGCACATATCACCTCACTCAATTCACAACTGTCTCACGAGGCAGGAACTTTTATTTTCACCCTCACTTTTCAAATGAGGAAACTGAAGCACAGAGAGGTTAGGTAAGTTATCAAAGTTTGCACAGTAACAGGTAGGTCTGGGATTTGAATCCAGGCAGTTGCTACCCTTTGAGAATGAGACTTCATTCCCATGCCACGTGGGTGTGCTAAGCCCAGGGCCATTGGAGGCCAAAAGAGAAGCTCCTCGCCTGTTTCCTGGATTCAGAGTCCCCCATCCTATGCTGCCTCTTCCCACAAGGAATCGGAGACCTAGATTTCCAGGAGGCTTAGCATGAGCAGAGCTGTGCGGTGGGATTGAGGGTAGGGAGTTCCAGAGACAGCCGGAAGGCCCGTGTTTCTAGAAGCAGCATAGAAAGTGGTTCTTTTTTTCTTCTTCTTTATTTATTGAAAAAGTTTTTAATGTTCATTTATTTTTGAGAGTGAGACAGAGCGTGAGCAGGGGAGGGGCAGAGGAAGAGACACAGAATCCGAAGCAGGCTCCAGGCTCTGAGCTGTCAGCACAGAGCCCGATGAGGGGCTTGAACCCGCAGACTGCAAGATCATGACCTGAGCCGAAATCGGACGCTCAACTGACTGAGCCACCCAGGTGCCCCTGAAGCAGATACATTTCTAAGGAGAACGGAACTCAGAATCAGTATTCATGCCTGACGTCCGTGGGTCTGGAAATAGCCAAGAGTACGACACGCACACACACACACTCACAGACACACACTCACACCTCACTAGAAGCTAAGCCAAACTTGAGCAGGAGATTTCAGAACTCTCCCCCCGGGAAGCCTGTTCTCACCCAGACATTTAATTGAACGTGTACATCAAGTCAGCTTGCGGCGCGCCTGGGGAAACTCTCACACGGTGCCGCCGGGCTGAACTCGCTCCAGGAAACCTCATTAATTTCTAAATGAGGAAGCATTTCATTTCCCAGCCATAGTCTGGAGACAGTGCCATTCACGGGCACAGATCGACCAGGCTCTGGCCCAAGACTCTTCCTCAAGGAAGGAAGGATAGAAGGAGGGAGGGGGCTCGGTCTTGTTTCCTGGACTTGCCCAGGTCGGGAGCGTTTAGAAGGGTGAAGAGAAAGTGATCTGGTCACGGTGGGTGTCGGACTGGATGACTATCTCCATCAATGTTATTACTGGCAAGGTCATGGTCTATCTAGTACTTACGCTACGGGACACGGTACCGTACCCTTCACGCCTGCCTGCGCTGCCCCGTCGTTTTTACGCACACCATGCGAATCGTAGTACTGTGAGCCACGAATTACTGCCTCCTTCCCTGAGGAGGAGGTGCGGCTCCGCGGAGGTTAGGGACGTGCCCGTGGCCTCAGAGTCAGAGCCTGAATTCAAATGCGGAGTGTCTGCTGAGGTACATAGTTTTAACCACTGTGAGGTCACCTCTGAAGCTTCTTGTTTTCTTTTTTTATTTCTTAGAAACTTCCCTATGTTCTTGCTTTAGAGAAACACCATCTAGCTCTCCATTAATTAGTTCAGTCAACAACCGGTTAGGCACTCACTGTCTCTTGAGAACCCATCACGGATACGATCGTGCAAGATGAACTTGTGCAAGGAACCCACAGCTTAACTGGTGACACAGAAGAGTGAGTGAGAGGACTTCAGCATTAAGTAACACATGCCAGGGTAGCGTGACTGTGGGGAGCCGAGGGGGCACAGAGCAGACTGTGGACATAGATGTAAGGAAAGACTTTGTACAAGAAATGAGCTTAGCTTGCTCTGAAGAGTGAGAATGAAGTATTTATTTTCATACTTTCCTTGCTGCCAAAAGGATTAAAGGAGGCTTAGCGCCCAGCTCATGATAAATGGTTAATAAATATTTGGTAAATGAATGACCTGTGAAAAAGAACTTTGCAACTGTTTCCCTTTTTCCTTTGGCTGCCAGGAAGCGCAGAGCCAAAATGGTGGGGCTCGGTCGGACTTCGGCTCAGCCTCCTCTCTCGGTTCTTGGGTTCGAGCCCCGCGTTGGGCTCCTCACCGGAGGCGTGGAGCCTGCTTGGGATTCTCTCTCCCTCTCTCTCCGCCCCTCCCCCTCAAAATAGAGAAACTTCAAAACAATTATAGGCGAAATAAATAAAATTTTAAAAATGTCAGTTTCGGGGATACAACACAGGGATCCGAGGATCCTGCGCCTCAGACGCAGTGCTCATCCCGACAGGCACAGTCGCCGTCTGTCCCCACACGACGCTGTCACAGCGCTGGCTGCAGCCCCCGCGCGGTGACTCCTTTATGTCACACCTTTATGTGACGTCACCCGTTCCCCGCCCCCCCTTTTCGGGTGGCCGCCAGGTGTTCTGGGCACGAGAGTGTCTGTTTTCGGTTTTCTCGTTCACTTGTTTTGTGCTTTAGATTCTGCGCATCAGTGACGCCGGCGGTGTGAGACCCTCTCGGATCATGTCTACGGGGGCCACTCCTCAGCCGTGGGGGGGGGTCTGACCGCGGGGCCCCCCCGGCCGCGTTCCGCTCCCTGCAGCCGGGCTGGGCCGTGGGCGGCGCCCGGGGTTTGCTGACCGGCCGCGGGGCGGTGACCCCTGCCCCGTCTCCCCAGCCACGCACGGGACCTTCGTGGTCCTGCTGCCGCTCAGCCTGATCCTGATGGTTTTCGGGGGGATGGCGGGGTGTCTGAGCTTCCTGCTCCGCGTGCCCGTCCTCCCGCTGCTGGCGGGGGCCGTCTTCCTCCTTGGAGGTAGGTGCCCGCGGGGGGCGCCCCCGGGGCTCGGCTCCGCCTCTGCGGCGTCGTGGCTGGACGGGGAGGGGGTCCCCGGGTCTGTGGTCCCAGAGCGAAGCGGGGGATGGGGGGCAGGTCCCGAGGGGCTCTCGCATCCCGCTTAGGGGCGAGGCCGGGGGGACCCCGGGGGCTGGGGCAGCAGGGCCTGCCACATGCCCGCACGAGGCTGCAGCGCACCCCCCCCCCCCGGAACGGCAGCACAACGCAAACCACGAAGCAGGGGCGGTGCACACACGTGCGGCCCGTGGAGGGACAACACGGTGCACACAACGCGCGGCCGGGCGCCCTTTCTGCGGTGGCGGGAGGTGTAACCCGCGCGGTGCGGTGGGGGGGGGGGGGCAGGCTGCGGAGCACTGCGGCGCGGGGAGCCCAGGAGGGCTCGGGGCCCCTCACACCGGCTCCGCTCCACGCAGCCCCCGAGGCCCGCGGCTGCGGTGTGGACAGCCCGCTCTAGCTCGCCGTGCCCGCCCCGCTCTGGGGGCTGCGGGTCCCGCCCCGGGCCCGGAACGCACAGCCGCGGGGGTCGGGGGGACGGACAAGGGCCGAGCGGGCTCACAAATGCGGAGCTGCGCCGGGCAGTGACGGAGGGCTGGGGGTGCTGTGAAGCCAGGGGGGGTTGGCCTGCGCGGGGAAGTCCCGGGGTCACAGCACTGAGACGTGGGCGTGAGTAGGAGTGTTCGGTGGCAGGAGGGAAAGGGAGGGGACGGGAGGAGGGGGAGGGCGAGGGGGGGGCG